ATTATGATAGAAGTTGCTTATGATTCTATTATTTTGTTCCTATATATGATTTCCCTAAAAATGTTCATAATTCGAGATATTTGAGCAAAAGTTCAAATTTAGAATTTTGAAGAGAACTCAAAAATGGACAAAGAGAAAAACACCAAATTTTAAAATTAAGCTTTAATCCATCCTAAGGTAAGCTGATTAAAGTTTGGTCATAGTCAAAGCATCTGGGGAATACTTTACAGGGTGTCGTTTTTTTTACTTTAGGAAATAAATAGTCTGGACCCTATTTTCTTAGACAACCTATTTGCCGTACATTTATAAATTTTATTTAATAAAAATAAACTTTCATTCATTAAACAGATGGGTGAAGGACGACCTTACTTCGGATCTTAGACCATGTAGGTATGTTAGGTGGTATCAGTTTCTCGGGGTTTCACATAGGTAAGTAGAAGGCGATTGTCAAATATAATAAAAGTATTGCCACATTAGGGTACACCATACTATTTAACGCCGCAGTGAAAGAGTTAAGGCATAACTAGCATACAAAAGTATTTACAACCGTTTCAAAAATAGTTAATTGTTAAGATTTTGAAGAGTTTCTTTTTGATAACGCTCAGCTCTGACTTGTTTAAATGTTCGTTTCTCCTTCTTAGCTTTCTTAAATCGATTCATTCCATTTAGTTGATCTTGCATAAGTTCAACCGATTTGAAATCTTTTGGTATGTGAACATATCTAATATTCCGGTGACGAACAAAGAATTGTGAAAAATAGTGTTTATTTCCTGAAAATATAAAATAAATTTTATTTCTTTCATATATTATGGTAAAGACATGAATGTTCATTAAATTTAAAAACATACCTCGCGCATCTATAAAGACTGCTTCTTCCATTTCTATATTCATGTAACCGTCAACTTTAACAATTTTTCCTGCGATACAGCTTTCATTTCGTAAATCTACTAATGTATATGTACCTTCTAGTGCTTTTACAAGACATACTAAAGTGTTGTGAAATAAAAAGTTCTCTTTCTTGCTGCTAGATTTTAAAACAACAATTTCTGATGCATCTTCCAATTCAGCCATTAAGATGATGTATTTTTAATAAAAATACAATCATTTACATAATGTTCCTATAAGTTTATACTTTTATTTTTTAGTTACGGTTTCAACAGTTTGTTATTGTAGAATTTTTTTTACCTTTTTTAGAAACAATTCAAATTATTGTCAATTGTCACTGTCAGCAGCCAGTAGTGATGAACGGATGAACCATGGAGGAAGGATTATGAACATGTTGGTTCGCATTTATAAACAGAACTCAGCTGAGTCGAACTTGAACCAATCGAAGTTGAGCCAGTTACAACGTCTCTAAAAATCCTGGTGGTTCCGGTGTTACACTGGAATTTAGAGATGGATATTAGCAAATCTGTAACTGTTAAGTACATTTACGGATTTGTTACAACCCATCTCTAAATTCACGGGATATAAATGAACTTCGATTTTCGTTCAAGCAAATACTTTGATTTTCTCTTGTGCGTTCAAGGTACCGACCTTTACCGCGTTTGAGAATCCACATCGGATGCATTTTTTACATCTTGAGCGTTTTGTTATCCACATCTGTCCCATTACATTTACGTATACTGAATCACGTGATCAAAGATTTACTACATCTCAGATGCATCCGATGTGGATTCTCAAACGCGGCATCAGATGCATCCGATGTGGATTCTCAAACGCGGCAAGATATTAAACTGGATGGCTCATAAACCCTATTCCTAATTTCTAAGCCGACATAGGTGAAATAAAACGGTCGGTGTGCATGACAATTTGGACGCCAGATTGTCAATTTCGAGCATTTTACGTCACGTTTTCCACGGGCGTATTACGATAAAATATATTATTTTTTATAAATTACGCGCTATTTAAATAGTTTTTTATTGGTTTTCGGCTCCGCAAACAAATAAGCTAATGTCTGTCACTTATCATCTTAGGACCAATTCCATCGTTGTGTTAAACGAAGTTTAAAATGACATTTTTACGTTAACAATATGTCATTTTAATCTCCGTTTAACACAACGGTTGAATCGGCCCTAACAGTTGTATTTTTATATTTCAATATATTTTCTAAATTGTAAATAATTTCTTTTTAATTCGTTTTGAACCAGTAGTTGTCTTTCGACAAAATAGACTAGAAATAAAAATGGTTAGATTTGATGGAATTTTAGAACTATACCCTTATTTCATTTGTAAGAAGTAGAAAACGTTTGCTCATTTGCTGGCACATGTCACGGCTTAAAATCAGAAAATCACCTATATTTAAATGGCACAGGAAAAAATATGTTATACTTGAAAATTACGATATCGCCCATCTCTAGTTAAAAGAGTGAATGGAACTTGGCTATCCGAACTTACCTTCTAGAATCCGAACTCACCTTGGGTGTCAAATGTCAACTAGAAGTCAAAAGGTCAAAAGTCAAAACACTCAAAAGTCAAAACTAGTAAACAAACCAAACGGCAAACAACACGTAATCTTTTTAACATTAATATTATTACTTGTTCTAATATTCCAAAGGCCAAAGTTCATTTGGTACGATTTTCAAGATTTTTCGCTATTCGATATGCTAGTTATGTCTTTACAGAGAATTAATTCCTTATTAACCTTTTCCTGTTTAATCGGACTGGGTTTATCTTTGTATGCCTACACGGTAGAACTTCAACTTGAAAAAAATGAGAAATACGCTCCCATGTGCGACATTAGCCCACAAATGAGCTGCAGCAAAGCTTTTAAGTCACAGTGAGTATTTAGTTGATCTCTTTAAATAAACAGGTATCCCAAACAATTTTGTAAGATTATTCTTACCAGGGTAAAATGGACTAGTTTATGTTATGAACAACTTGAAAAAAAAAAAAAAAACTCATCACATTTACTAAATAATGTACTTTTTAATGTGAAAATTATATTTTTACATATTTTTTCATCTAATAATGTTTTAAAATAGTTCATTAAAATTTTAGGTATGGCAAAGGATTTGGAATTTTTGAAAAGCATTCGCCACTTTACCATCCAAATAGCTTATTTGGTCTTATGTTTTACAGCATGATTGCCACTTTAGGTATGTATAAAACTTTTAAATATAAAATCGTTGGTATTTACTTAAATATACTTGTTAAAAAATCCTTGAATCCTGTTTTTCTGGTGTGATAAATTATTATTTTCTTGAAACTCTACTGAAAAAATACATTTCAGAATATATTTTGTCCAATTAATAATTTAAACCTTATCCAAGCTAATTTTATCAAGATAATATCAAAATTTTATCTTGTTTTCATTTGATTTTTACTTTGTACATTATATGTTACTATGTTACAAGTACTAATATGTACTAAAATTGAAATCGAAAAAAAGTTAAATTTTTACATGATTTTTTTGATTTACAGTTAAAAACTGTTTAACAAGGTTTTGGTCTAGGTATTTATTTTATTGAGTACTGTTAATTAATTATTTCTGAAATATATAAATTAGTTTTAATATAATTTCCATAATAAATACCGAGTAATATTGTATAATTAGTCACAAAAATCATTATTCCTAAGAAGAAAAAGAACTGTACCTGTATCAAAATTTTAGAAACTGCTTCATCTAACCAAACATCAAAACATCATTTTTGTTTATATTAATGTTTGTTTTATTTTAGCCCAGTCTAACAGCAGATTCACTACATTGTTTTCCTTCATTGGAATAGGACTGTCCAACTTGATGTCCCTTTATTTCGCCTACATATTATATTTTATATTGTCCGATTTATGTCTAGTATGTGTTGGAACATACATAGTCAATGTAATCAATTTAATATTAATTCAATTTAAGATAAAAACAATAAGTACCATAGAAGAGGCTAAAGAATTAAATAAAAAGAAAAAATAGATATCTTAGGTTATGATTTAACAGAATTTGGTATTGATAATTAAAATATATCTTTATTAATTTAATATTTGTTTAGCTAGAAAGACAAACAACTATGTACCTAACTATCAAGAATATTTTTCTTTATTAGTAATTATTAGTTAGTGGTACTTCCAAAATCGTAGATTGGAAATGTTAACCATTATTTCTTTAAGAAGAAATTTATAAAAGTATACTAAAGGAAGGTTACTTAAATTTCTCAACATTTATGTTCAATTTTTTAAATTAATTATATTTCAAAGTTATTCTGTAGTGAGATGTTAATTATATTTAAAATATGCACCTTGCATTTATATAGATTTCTTGTAATTTAGTTACAAAATATTTGCTGAAATTTCAAACCATATTGTTTTTATACTGCTTTTTGTTTTATGTTTATCTTTGTTATTTCACCTATTCTTCAGTTCTTGTTTGTGACTGATATTCATGAATTAAAAAAGTGCCAAGAGTCTTGCCAAAGTTTTATGTTCCATATAAACCTGTATTCCACAGCTTAATATAGTTTATTCATGATAATTATATAATAATTCAATCCCAAACTTAAAAGTTTTAGTTTTCTCCTAGGAGCAGAAAGTGATATTCAAATGTCAGTTTCCTCCTGAGGCCGGGAACTAATTCTGTATAGGTACCTATCATAACAACATAAGGCGATATAAAGAAAGTATCACAAATCGTTCCAAACTCTAGAACTGGGAGTGCTATTTGTGTCATTTCTCATACATTTGTTGATGTAACTACTTTGAAATAATTCGTTACACTGGGTTATGGGTTATATTTTGCGACTAATTGGCTATTTTTCTTCTTATTCTATTTTAAATACATATATCAAATATAATTCACTAAAGTAATGTTTTAAAATGTCTGGCAATCTTTAAATGTCAAAGTTTTTGCTTCAAAATCCAAAGCGGGAATATTCTCATGTAAATATTTCCCATTGGCTGTGGGGAACATTTCCTATTAGTCTCCATACTATATCATAGTATATTACCTACTGTTTTTTTTGTAATTTTTAGTTTTGGTTTTACGAGAATACATTTTTAATGTATTGAATTTCATTCATTTTGAATTGTTATGTTTATTATCAATATTTTTTTTACCTTCTCTATACTTAAATTAATAGTTATTATAATTTTTAGTAAAATAATAGATGAAATATTTCTGGGAAAATTACTGCAAATATTCGTGGGAATGTTCCCAAAGTTAAAATTCCCAATAATATACCCATAGTATTTTAATATACATAGCAGCACTTTTAAAACTATTAACCATATTTAAATTTGGGGTAGCCATGTGTGAGTTGGTTTATTAAATGAAAGGATGGGAGAGAAAAGTCATTTGTATCTCACAATGATATGTATTTCTATATGCGACCAGTTTCGAAGTCTAGAATTTCATTTTCTTGCACGCCTAGTGGGTAGGAGAAAATAGAAAAATAGTGAAGTTATATTGGTAGCAGCAAGAAAACAACGATTTCCTACCGTTTCAATTAATAAACTATTTTTTTAAATTGTGGTTAAGAATTATGATTGTGAATAAAATAGTAGGTATACAAACCTTGATGGAAATTATCATTCTGGTATTTCTCTCTAGCTCGCCTTTATGATCTATATTAGGCCTCGACTGTAATGATGCATTTCTTGTCTCTACTATTAAAATTATCAATATTTTTCAAATAGTTTCTATTGTTGATTTATTTATATAACTGTTAAATTCAATTAAGGGATCTGTTTTTACTGGATTTTTATTTTTATATATAGGTATGTCTTTGTTGTCCCTCCTTTACTCAGGTTTATGAATATGTAATTGTGATTGATATTAAAATATTGTAATTTGTTGTTTATATTCTATAGTGTAGTTATAATAAATGATTGTTTTGGTAGATTTCTGCTTTTAACATTTATTGATTTGTTTTTTATTTTTAAAATAAAATGTTACATAATTTTTGTTTTATTTTATCTAGAACAACTCAAGTTTTCTTTATAAATAAAAAGTGACAAATATATACTTATCTATAAAAGTCTCACACTATTTTCTAGATATTTTGATAATTATTTTTGCTAAACAAATAAGGAAAAGAGCTCAATGTTTTAATATACAGTGTGTGCCACAAAGTTGTATCCATATATGGGCCTTTTTTAATATCGTCGGTTAAGAAGAAAACTATCTTGTGTCCATTTAAACTATTTTTTTTTTAATAAGTTATTGACTTAATGTCCTATTTAATTCTAGCTTGTGCAATACTAGCCGCATGGGGAACAAAGCCTAGAATTGTCTTCGTTTTAGGGCAATAAAACTTTTAAATGTGTAATACTCAAAACTAATAGAAAATGGTAGTATTCTTCTCAACACGATATTACGATTGGAAAAAAAAAGTCAAAAATGGCTTTTTTAAATATGAAAAAAAGTTATTAGAGTAACTTGTTTCTAATAACAATTACGCTAACACCGATTTTAAATAAGATATTCTGACTTTAAAGAGAATTTTAGTTTTTTGATACACCCCCATAACTTACAATTTTGTATTCATTGAAAAATCTCAAAAGCAACGAGCATACAATTGCATACCAATTTTTGTTAATAAAATTCGACGTTGTGGCTATTTTTATTACAAATGACAATTCTTGTTATTACAATTCATTATTATTTATTCATATAATGAATCTTAGTTTAATAAAAAAAATAATAAATTATGCGTTATTTCTTTAGAAATGAATTAAAAATCATCCAGAAAACAATATTTGCCTCTGCAAAATTTAAATATTCGTAAAAAATAACCACACTGCCAAAAATTTTTGATAAAAATTGATATGATATGGTAAGCTTTTTCAATGAATGCAGGAGTGCGTTTAGAAACCACGCACAGCACGTCTGGACCCTATTCTAATGTATGTGATAAGACGCGTCGTGCGAGGTTTCTAAACTAAACGCACTCCAAAATTGTCAAAAAATGTTGAAAAGTAAAATTGTTGACGTAAAACGTCTTTAGAAACAAGTTTCTATAATTTTTCTTTATATTAAAAAAATACCATTTTTAAATGATTTAAAAAAAAATGCGATTTTGATATAACTATACAACGTTAGTAGCCAACTTTGATATGGGTTATTTTAAGTTTTAAAAAATTCCATATGGATTCAATTTTATGGCACATACTGTAAGGTGTTAAAGTAAAATGTTGTAATGGTTCCACCTCAGAATGGTTGAACTATTCTACGAGTCATAGTTATTTATTTACTTATTTATTTAAATTTATTTACAATGGAAGTTTATAGATTTTTTGACAAATTATAAATTAAGTCAAGCACCTACCTGTATATGCTAAAAGTAATGGCAGTAAAATTATAAATTATTTTTCATTAGTGCTTCGGCATACTAATATAAAACAGTGACATATATACACATTTTTACATTTACAAAAACAATAAAAAGAACGATCTAGAGTACATTTTTATATACAACAATATCAGATATGATAATACAGTTTTCCTACGACCACTTAAGAAAGTGACATATCACACTATAGTCCTATGGAAAGTGCCCTATATCACACGCGTATGAATAAGAATTTACTTTCCACCCGAGTGAGAATATGTTACTTTCCGCAGTAGTTGTCACAAATTGTCAAACACCTAATTTATATTTTGGTCTATGTAAGGTTTGTTCCAACATAAACCAAATCAGTTTGCGTACTGTCGGGATTCTGCGCAGTCTAGGATTCGTGTTCCAACAAACTTTAGACTGAAAACTGTACAAAAACATAGTGTTCCAAGACCATTAAAACTCATCACAAACCGATTTGTGTACTGTCAAATCAGTTCCTGGGTCTGAATAGGAACGAATTGTCAAGACATGCGCAAAGCCGCAATAAACTGAACATTTCGTGATTGTTATTATATTATTTGTATCTATTGTCTCTGACAGTTCTAATTTGTATTTGTTAATCGAGTTTTGTCTTCATAGTTTTTGTTCATTATAATTTATTTTATTTTGTGATTTATTATTGTAATAGTACGTCTGTTGAATTTAAAAAATGTGTTCCAACATAATCGAGTTCTGAGTTGAGTCCCAATCCCCGACGAGTACCTGACAGGTTGTCAATTACTGGTCATGTCAACAATAACTTTTGTACTGGTTTATGTATTAGGCATTCCAAACTGAATGGCTACCAGTGGGTTATGATGTGGCAAAATTATGGCAACCCTGTAGGCCTGGTGATTTGACAATGTCAATGAAATAGATAGTTACATAGATTGATCATCCATATTTTTCAAAATAAACATAAGCTTATGCCTTGAAATAAAAATGTAAGCAATTATTTTTTTTAATATCTAAAGGCTAATAATTGGTTTTAAAACACAATTAATAAATATTTGCCAGGCAATATGGCCGCTCGTAAACGACCAGCTTTGAGCAATCTATATAACTATATATGTATCATTGACCCTGTTAATGACAACTTGACAACAGGGTTGCCATATCTAAACTGTCATTACCCACTGGTAGCCATTTGGACAGGTCGTTGGAATGCCTAATTGTTTTAAGATCGTTGTTGGAATAAACCTGTAATGTCCATATTAATACTAAAATCTATATGATTGTTAAATTATTGAAATTGTTGTAAATTAGATCCTAGATATTTATCTTTAACAATTATTATTAAAATAATTTTAAAATAATGTTTGCTCTTTATTCTGGTTAAATACATAACCGATTAGATCATTCAATTGACACAAGGGCTATTAGCTCAGGTGGTCAGGACGTCGAACTTATCAACTTTGCCATTTTTCGACCGCGTTCAAATCCTGGCGGGGCAGAATTTTTTTTTGTTTTTTTTTTATTTTTTTTTTAGTTTTTTTTTTTGTTTAGAAAATATGAAAATTGAATAAATACGATTATTGTTGATTTTTTTAAATACTTTTTAATTATTATAGTAATAATAACCTTGGTTTTAAATTTTTTTGATGACATTATTTTGTGGTCGTAGGAAAAATATTGTACATCACTTGTGTGAAAAGTGATTTTCCACACTCGTGTGATAGTCGCACTCGGCTTGTGCCTCGTGCGACAATATTTCTCACTCGTGTGAAAAATGTCACTTTCCACACTCGTAATGTAATATACTATTTGATTTCTTCTGAAATAACTTAATTTATTTTCTAATTTTGACATATAAATTGACATTTTTTTGTAATTGTAGCAAGTGCCTAGCAGACACTGACATGGAGGAAACTTGTCAGGCGATGATTAAAATTATGGTACATAAATAAGGCAATTAAACATTGCATAATAAGCAGTTTAACGTTTAGGGCCATGTTTACAATCATTGGCACATTTTTACTGCATATTAAGTGGAAATTAATGTTATTTCAATCATACTTTTCTCAAGCGCTTTTTAAGCTCATTTTTTCACCTGAGCGAACAATAACAGTTCAAATTACATCATGTTTGCCGGGTTGGCATTACGATGTTTATATGGACTGTTCGATTCGATTAATTTCACAATGTTGGTATATCTATCGGACAAAAATCTTACACAACATGCTTGGGTTGTGTCTTGTCAAAAGCATCGTATAGTTTTCACTTCACGTTTATTTGTGTGTGGCGAGTTGTAACTTCACCGAAGATTTTTTTGGCTTTATGTGAAAACTTTATTAGAGCCAAATAATATATAAAATGGAAGACAAACAGGGTTACCAGGTTTTTGAAACAGATATGACGGACAGACAGGGGATTTTAGGGGAAATAAAAACAACGCAGACCATTTTCATTCTTTTAATCAAAATTACCTATTTT